TTGGATTGGACCATAAAGGAATTATTAAGAGGAAGCTTCCTTTTCAGTTTTGCCAGCAGGTCTAGGGCGAAAGCTTGAGAGATGTCCAGGACGACATTGGGATATTGGTTTTCAAAGTGTTATTGATGTTTGTGTCAGAATATTTTTTCTACATTAAATAACCATATTAGACATATGATTATTTTATGTTTTTCTGCTTTAAGTAATATCATTCCCCACTTATTAACGCTGTTGAGTGATTGAGTACTGCTATCAAGTGCTTGACGATGGTCGAATCTTAATCCTTCGGTCAAAATTTAAGTAAACGTATTGCCCCTCTTATGCACTACAATATTGTTATATATTTTTGAAGTTTACACTTTTGTTGAAATTATTAGAGCAATAATTAAATGACTCAAACCCGAAAAGAATATCGTCCTGCTTGTGGCAAAACTCTTCCTTAAGGAATCCTACTTTTTACTACTCTTGTAGCTTATTATTTACAGTAACGCCGAAAAGCTGTTCGTCGCAAAATCACGAGTTTGCATAATTGAGTTAACTGTGAAGCAGTGTTAAACCAGTTTTGCCGGGCTGGTAGGACGAGCGTGTAAGCGGATTTTCTAGTTAAAAGAGTCACGCTCATCTGTTTTTTACCTGGTGCCTTCTCGATCTCAACCTTGACACTGCCCACGTCAACATCCCAGGCAACACGTCCTACCTCATCCCATTTATTAAGAAGATCGGCACGATCGTCATCTCACTTCTCCCTCTACCCGCACACCCATTATAAAAGATTAATGAGCTCCTGTCTTACATAATCGCACGTATTGAAGAAGCTCTCGATTAATAAAACTACGCATTCGATAATGACCTTTGTAGATCTAACCTTGTTAACCTAGACGGTCCGACTTCTTGATTCAGGAACGGTTTGTGAATCTCGTGACCGTCCGATAACACCCACATCCGTTGATAACAGCCAGGTTGTAGTTGGTCGTTTAATTTTCGTTGGTTGAAAGTCGTGAAGATCAAGTCGTGCCATATTGTACTTTCGACCTAGATTTCTGGGCTCTTGAATCATGCCGACCGCTGCGGCATTACACTGAAATTAATACGAGGACCTTTCTTCTTTCAAATTGCGACCCGCCGCTTGAGGGATTAAACAGCGAGGCAGGGTTATTAGAAACCCATGGGAAAAGAAAACGGGCCTTTCTTTTTTCATCAGACCCAATCGAAGTAGATTCCCTATTGGGGTTTCAATCAGCCGACGGGATTCTAAGGACGCAGGACTAGAAAAAGAGGTCCCTCTGCGAAAGAAAACTTATTTGTTAGAAATAAAGAAATCCAACCAATAGAGTTACTTCAATACAATTGCTAAAACTCCTAGGATTAGGAAAAACAGAAGGGGCTGACTTTTACGCTACCTTCTATTTCAAGACTTCAAACTAGACATATTGCACAATTACAAACACGTAAAGCACGATTTTGGCGTAAACAAGCATTCAGAGGTAGCAACAGTGAAGCAACGTTCTCGCTCCCGTGAACGGGTAATTGTATACTACTAGCAAAATTAAACATCGATAAACCAACCACGATTCCGCGTTCATAGTTCGTCGCAAAATTATTAAACCACTTTCAAAAAATCCATATGCCAGTTGTTTTGTTCATAATAAGGAGTATACAAATCATTAGTCTGCCTAGTAAAAGGAATCTTTTGAGATACCAAGTCTGGTTGGTGGACAAGATGGTGGTCCTACTTATTAATTGCTGTGGAAGAAATCATCCACCTTCAACATTTATTCTCAAACACGCTGAATTCAATTAAGTTTACTGTTAATTATGTTTTTATTACACTATAAACAATGAAAACATTATGGCGTTAGTATAAAGGTAAATTATACATGTCCTGGTTTGATTGACTTGATGGAGTATTTGTGACCATTTGGAGGATGCATTGCTATTTTGTTTTTGCACACCCCCAATACCATCATTACTACCTAGGCTGACGATACCGTAATTTTGTCCTCTAACTCGAATCCTATCGAAGCTACCTTCAAAAACCAAGAACACCTTGAGCTTATCGAAGCCTGGTGCAAAAAGTGGCGGACAAGAACGAATGAAGAAAAATGTACTCAGTGGACATTCGCATTGAAAAAACAGTGTTGCCCTCAACTGTACCCATATTCTCATGGCAAAAAAATGTTTTACTATTTCTTTATAGTGGGTGGAGAGGAAAGGGTTGGTAGTAATTTAAAATATCGGGCTTATCCCTAGACTTGTAAAGAAGGCGTGTTGAGTGGTATGACAGCATTGATTATTCTGCGAAGGATGTTCTATTGTACGGCGAGGAATGATCGGATAACGGAAACATATGGCTGACCCATTTGTTCAAGCGATATTAAAAAGGAGCATTGTTGCTTTGGTGTCTTTTATGTGAAACTGTCCTAGGTTCAGTACAAGATGTCAATAATGAATTCAAACGCATTTAAAACTTCGACGCTAGAGCATGTTTCAAAGACATGACCTATTTTGATGAATACATTGGATAAATGTCCTCTGAAGCGGGACGAAACGGCCATTAAAGACGTAATAATCATTAATACATAAGATATACAATTTTACATGCAGAAGCCTGTGTACATCCTACAATACTAGCAAGACAAAGAAGGAATAAAGGACCTGATCAATTTTTACGATAACATGGATTCACATGTAATTAAATTAATGTCCTGGAAGCCTTTTGTTATACATAAAGGTAAAAGGGGAAACAACAATGACCTGGTTATCGGGTTGCGATCGCTATGCTAAAACTTAGATTTGTTTAATTCGAAAGGTCAAAGTAGTAACATGCAATTACCTGTCTATTAGAATAAAAAAATCCTAAGAGAATGACGATTTTTATGATCAATAATAAAAATAACGTTTTCTGGTAGCATCCGAGAATTCAGAAACTGTTTGAAATGAGAAGCCAACAAACCACTGCCAGGCACCAAATTTATTTGGAAAAATTGTGTTTGGAGATGTTTTACCTAGGGTTAAGATAATCCAGAATATGTAACGGTAATGGTCGGTTACAAAACTAAATTATAAAACTGACGCCCAATATATACGCGCCAAATTTTCGTTCAAGGTACAGAAGAATGTATCTTTGCAAGAAAAGGTTCATATTTCCGATAGGAGTTCAAATCCATCCAGAGAAGATAGGGCTGGAGTGAGGAAAAAATTGGGAGTCACTCACCGAACACATGAAATCCAAAAATCCTCTCTTTTAGCGGTTTGAAAGTAATGAAACTGCAGAATGCATCAAACGAAGCAGGAAGTGGAACTTATTCTTAACAGTTCCAGGGGCACTGCAGGACCGCATCTGAGAATGATCAAGCAAGCAATACGATCTGTGTATATTATCCAAAGAGAGAAAGAGGAAACGGCAGCACCCTTACTGATTGTAATGCTCATTTTGATAACATACAGCACATCAGTGGAAGAAATAATTATTGCAACTGGGTCAAATAAACAGATTCCTCAAATATTAGAGTAGGAGGTACAATAGCTTTTAAAGGGTGCGGCATAAAATAACCCTGATGCCATCAATCAAAACATCAATCAATAAAATTACAGAGACACACAATGTGGAACATTTGTAAAAACAGCATGTTTCGGCCTACAGAGATAAAATTGACGCCATGAACAGCAAGGATAGTAAAGCAGATAGAAATGGAGCAGAAATATTTCCGGAATGTTTCATATTGATTATTAGCTTCGCAAGGATTTAATTTTCTTTGAACGATAGCAGGTAAGTAGATTACGGATACGAGGATGTCCTAGACCTTCGGTTCAAGGGGACGAAACTGGGACAAAGTACTTCTTAATGAGCCGACAATGGCTAACAAGCTTGCCATTCCTTCTATTTGTACACTGATAACAATTTTCGGTAACGAGTTTTCCGCCCTCCCGATGGGAAATTCATTGTCTCCTTTATAAACCATAAAGAGGAAACGGCAACAAAACGGCATCTGAATAGTCTGTCCTGGTTCTTTTCTCGACTTGTCAACGACGTCTATTCATATTTGAGAGCTTATTAACCTTTTTGAAAAATGGCATCCTTATGAGAAACGGTTTGAAATTTTACCGTGTCAAAAGTGAATCAGATTTTTCCACGCCATGTTCTTTCTGATGATGTTCTTAAATTGAGGATAACTTTCGGCAGTGAAGTATTACTCTATGTACTATTATTACCTGTCAACTTGAATTTTATCATTCACTATCAAACCAAATTTTACACAAAGTTTAAGTCAATAAAACATTAAAATAGAGGGATCTTTGTAAGAAATGTTTTGAAGCATGACGTCTGTTTTTATCTACAAACGCTACCTTTTTGTAATCGCGTCATCTTTTACCTTTTGCTTTGTAATTTTTCTTTTTCACTAGGCCCGAAAAGGCTTAACCGAAACGGTTGTTAATCTTCCGTCCAGGTGAGGTAGCATGTCCCAGAGATACCGCAACAATTTTTGCCGGATCACCAAGGAAATATTAAGAATAGTTTCGTCATGGACGCACTACACCATTTCTATCACTGGGATAGACATCTCATATTTAGTCTTGAAATATTTCATGTAGTTCAATGATACCTTTTTAATATTTCACAGAAAACTAAGATTACACTAAACCCACTTTATGTGATTTGATGTTATTTATTGACATGACGTTCTACACGACATGAGACCGTTTTTATCCAAGAGATTTGACATTGCTGGGAAACAAAGGTTTTATTTTTCGCCGAGGCTTACTCTAAGATGTTCTTTTTCGGTAAAATAGAGAGCGGGTTTTCCACCAGAGAAATTGAACATCATGCATGGACTATTTTCCATTTCGTTGGATCAATCTCCTCGAGATCACGTTTGATTACTGAGCCAGTGTAAGTCTGATACCTTCAAATCCTACCGATTTTAAAAAAAGAATAATAAAACTCATGACTATCCTAATCATACCTGATTTTGTTATTTTAACGCTTAGAAAAAACTCACCCTGCTGGATATGCGACGAGTTCGCTGTTGGGGTCAGAGTCTAGGCCTGCATTGTTGGAAACTGTTAGGCCAAGAACTCTCTCAAGTTTCACCTGAAAAATAGTAAAAACTATTAATTACTATTAAATTCATTACACTATTAAAATACATTAAACTATTCATTTTGTATGTTGGTTTTACTAAAAACTGATTAACTATAACTTGTTGGTTATAACACGTAAATTTAACTGACATGGAGCATTTACTGATGAATTTGAATTTTGACTGATGTAAACGAGTGTCATTAGGTATACAATATACTAGGATTTCGATCCTTATCGCCTCAAAGATGTATAAGTTAGATCTTTGGTCAAGCCACCGAAGAAGTAGTTTGGGCTGAAATGTAGAAATTGGTTAAATTTATTTTGTTGGATTGGATATATAGAGTGTGATTTTTTCGCCAAAATTCTCATTTCAGTTAAAGCTAAATGTATCCAAAAATATTATGAAGCGAATGTAAAAGATAGCACTAAATAGTCAAATTTATTTGACCTCTCGTTGTACACTACTACGAATTTTGTCGTTCTGTAAACGGATTTATAATCCATACGATCATAGTATTCACGCAAATTGGTTTACGAAACTTAAAATAAATAAATAAAATAAAAGTCTGTATCTGTCCTAGGAGGTCTGGTTAATTTCTAAGTTAAAATCTTGGGTTAAGCAACTGAAAGTTTAAGTCGTAGTGAACAGTTTGGGCTGAAACGTAAAAAAGGGCGTTAAGGATCTTTTGAAAGATTTGCGATTGGAGGGATTAGATTTTATAAGAGTTTGGTTTTTTTTTCTTTGGTGTTTGATCAGCCTTCTCAGTTTAAATATACTTTCCTAAAGGTAGATTGGGGATGAGGCCTCATCCCCAATCTACCTTTAGGAGAGTTTGGTTTCTTAATCGATCCAGGTAACAGAAGTGCATTGCAGAACATTGTTGTCAGTGGTACTTCTTTATTCAAGTCACATAAGCAATAGTTTGTTTCCTGTATTTTCAATTCAGAGAGCAATGGGGATTTCATGTTTGTCGTTTGTCAACGAACAGTGTCAGGTAATACTTGCGAGGTTGTCGTGGGTTTTTATTTGGACAGATTGAAGGACAGGTTGTACAATGCTTAAAGTTGACGTGAAATTAATGGATGGAATTAATTACATTTACTTCTATCCTCTATCTGCGAAACCAGAGCAAAAAGAAGTACAGATGAAGTTTGATGTCACGAGTAGGACAGAATCTATTTAGAATGTATTTCTGTGTACGACTTAACTTGGCCTATTGCAAACATTGTGGTAATGATAAATAGCTAGTAATGACTGATTAGCTCAATAATAATAGAATATTTTTAATCTAGTAGTTCGATTCTCATCAAATAAAGTATTCTTGTGACTAACCATCCCTAATCACGAGGATATGATGATGTTGAGCTCAAGCTAGAGATTTAGTGTTTTCTTAATAGCTTCTTCGTCTAACGGCTCTATTCTACCTATCATTTTAAAATCGCGAAAGCACACGTTGGAAAAGCATTGCATAAGCCCGAGTCTCCAGGACAGAAAGGCACAGCAAATGGGAAATCACGATACTAGGTACACGGAACGAGACAGGTTCACGAACTTTGCGCAACGGCAAAATAAGTGATGGCCGTGTCCGGCGGAAAAGAAGAAGAATAAGAAGGAAGAAGACGCTTCCATTAAATCACGGGCTTAGCGTGCGTCAATTTTTCCAAGCGGCACGCTATGCAAGTTACCCCTGGTTTAGAGATTGCGGAATTTTTCTTTTTTTTCCCCCGTGGCTAAGTCGTGCAGTACTGAATGAATGAGGCATATCTTGAGACGGCCTGGCTAACTTCCAAGTGGTCCTAGTTTTCTGACATGTCAAACTTTCATAAAAGAGATAACTATTTTTTTATTACAGCCTGGTATCTTTTAAAATAATAGTCAATCTAATATTTATTCTAAGCATACGTGTAAGCCCCATTACAGCAGTAACATGTTAAAAGGTCCTCATCCGGCAGTTAAAGAAGTATATAATAATTGGTCGAAAAAAATATTACCTTGTGTTTCATACATTTTTGGATATCTATTTTTTATCGAAAGAGTCCATTTGTAGAGCAGGAATGGAATCGACAAGGTACAGATTCTCTTACTACTGAACTGTATGTTATATTCAAGGCCTAGGATTTATAAACTACTAGTTATAAAAAACTACATGTAAGATTGAAAAATCTCAAGGCCCAAAATAAGAATGTAATTTTTGTTGGAGTAGAGGACACAGTGGCATAAAACATAATGAAATCGTGGATTTAATGGCCAGAGATGCCACAGTTGACGGGGAGTTTCATGAAATCAAGCTGCCCAAAGCGGACGCTAAACGCCTGTTGAACTCAAAATGCATGGAAAAATGGATCTCATGGTATGGTAATAGATCGGGAGGCTTGATCTAAAAATCCCGGTTCTCACAACTAAACCGTATACCTTGGTTTTCGGGCAGGAAAGGAAGTAAAAATTTCTTCGCTACGCCAACTCGAATCAGGTCAAATCACTTAATATGTGGCTCCTACTTAAATAAGATTAATCTCAGAACATCCCCTAACTGCGCGACGTGTGATGAGCCGGAAAATATCAATCATATTGTCCTGATCTGTTCGGAATATGAGAAGGAAAGAAAGATATTTTTTGATCGGTTAATGCTCCTAAAGGAGGTTAACAAGCCATTCAGTTTGGAGAGCCTGATAGCATCAGAACATGAAGAGACGTATAATCTACTTTATCTGTATCTGCAGGATTGCAATTTATACAATGATAGCATTTTTAGACTCTACCAAAGTATTTTTACTTACTCAAAGTGTTTGTTTTCTGTGTAGATGTGTGATTATAATATCTTACTGGCACCCTCCACATGACACACAGTAATGACACATCTACACAAAAAACAAACACTTTGAGTGAGTAAAAATACTTTGAGTCGAGTTTAAAATTTCTGTCATTGTATAAATTCATTTTTTCATATCCTACACGTATTTGTATAATTTAAACAATGTTTATAAATCCCAGGCCCTGAAGATGATCTCAATAAAGATCGAAACGTTGGTACGATAAAGAAAAATTTTTCTAAACCTACATCACACCAGGCCGCATCTCACGAACTCTACATAATTTTACTAATGAACGTTTCTTTTGGCAAATCATCAAATTTTTATAGTAACTTCAAAAATAATAAAGTGTCCTTGACTACTCAAGACGTTTAACTTCTACAGATAATTTTGAACTTGAACTCGGTAATATACGTTGCCAACGTGCTGTATTCCATCATACACTCAAACCGTTGTCTATTTCAATCAAAACCATGTTCCTCAGCGAAGACATTCAATCACTAGTCACGACTAATAAAATGCCGATATGTCGGTACTTTTTCCGCACCCCTGATTCGACTGCTTTTTAAAAAATGAACCCATCCAAATTTCGATAGGGTTGACGGTTTGAAACTTTTCCCAAAGAGATATCTGTGCGGTTGGGATCGATATAAATTTCACCCCACCATGACTACAATTATTTCAACAAAACGGGACTATGATTGTCCTTAGACCCAATTTCTCGATGTCTTTTCATTATTCTGGAAAATTTGCCAAATTAATAGAAGAAACGGGAGATATTCGTTTCTCCTCGGATGGCGCTTTTATTTCTGAGCTAGGCAGTTTTGACTAGGACCGAGAATTTAGAATAAATTAAAACAGTCTTCAACGACCCCAATCGTGAATAGAATAGTATTAAAAAAATGTGGAATACCAAGACAAAAAAATTTTCTAAAAGCACTAAAACTCAATATGGAACTTGCTAATAATAAAATCCTATTTACTGCACAAGGACGTCTTCCCATAATTGAAGAATCGAATAATGGAAACGGCGAAAGTCTTTTGATTATTTACTTCCTAAAACCGGCATCGGCTTTTTGTTTTTGTCCTTGGCCTTTCAAACCCCACAAAAAATTGTAAAAATTTAAATTTTCAGCCTACAAAATTAACAGTGTCGACGTACATGCAGCATAAAAGAAATTTAGCGAAAGGCCACAAAGCAGTAGAAATAAATAACAAATCACTTGTGGATATTGGGCTTGAAATGTTGGAGAAAATTAAAACTGATTTATCGCTGGTGGCTCTCGTGTGAAAGTTTGTACAATGCCGAGAGATCCCCGACTGTTTCAGAAAAGTTCAACTTTGACCCAACTTCAATTTAATTTGATGTTGGAGATGGGAAAACCTGCCAGCTAAGGTTTTGTTTGTGAATTAATAATAAACAATGGCGATTGTGATTTTACCTCCATCAGCTTAGCAATACTTATTGAATGAATGCTTGTGACCAGGTGGAAATATTCGTAACAATTGCCCTGGAGTTTTTCATGGACAATTGGGTGCTCAAGAAAGTTCAGGTCGAAATCAAGTCAGTCATTCTGCGAATTTTCCGATGTTGTATTAAGCTCGAGAAGATTTGTCTCCGGTTCAAGACCTCAGGCGTTATGGCGCTAGAATGGATCAGTTAAATTTCATATGAACCTGTAACAATTAGACTGATCAAGATTGGGGAAAGATCTCATTTGCTGTTGAGTTTCGGTTGTCTGATTACTTCGGATGTTTCACTATGTAGACAGATTTGAGCAGGAAGAAAAAAAGCTCACGATTTGTTAACATTTTCGAGATACATCGATGTACCTTCAGCGAACTTAAGACTACTCGAGAAAAAAGTTAAACTCTAACGTCCTTGCACCTAAGCCTTTTCTCCATCATCATTCTATCTATCCTTGGAATAAAACAGAACATCAATTCATCTTTAACTAACATGTGATAGATGCAGTATCATGCCCATCACGTCGATCTACCGATACCCTGAGCTTAAACAACACTGCCTGAACATATCCTCCAAATCGAGTTTGACACGATATAGTAATGTTGAAGCTCAATTCTCGATACTTCGAAATCATCCAAGGCACCACTTCCTCTTCTAACCTCATTTTACCTGACGTAACATTCATTTACATTACCATATTTACAAAGCTGACCTACCATTGTGGATCTGA